CAGGCAATTTAGATGAGTATCTAGTCAAAGTGGCATCAATCAAGGAAAACTTTCAAATCTCATTGAACAATGTAGTTTCATTGTTAGTAGATATACCACTCACTCCACCAATCATACAACGGCTGTGAAAAATTTAAAAAAATAATGCATTAATTTTCACCAACCAGCTGTAAAAACAAACAACAGTAAAAATCTATAAACACCACCAGCCCTCTAAAAATACAAGTTTTCATGATATAAACGGGCGCACGCATTTTACTCAACGTTGTCCCCTAAACGTAAAACAGCGAAAACATATTTCAGTCTATAGCAGAGGCGTAGCGACCCTTCCCGGCGCCCGGGGACAAACTTTCGATTAGCACCCCCCCCCCCTCAAACTTTCAATTTGGCGCCCCCCCCCCTAAGGTCGGCGCCCGTGGACATATGTCCCCCCCCCCCCCCCCGCCCCCCCCCGCCCCCTCTCGCTAAGCCTCTGGTCTATAGCTAATTACGTTACTTCCTCTTCATACCCTTTATATGAATAAAGTAAATAGGAAACACATGCAAGGGAGACGACAAAGATTTAAATTAATGGTTAACTAAAGAATTTAAAATTAATAATTTCATGAATTAAAACATATATTTGTGATAAGTTTTAATTTAAATAATATCAGTTGTATTCGTCATTAATAAATTGAACATATTTTTTTAAAAACAATTATATTATTTTTCAAAATTCATAAACAAAAAAAAACTTTTTTAAGATTTAAAAATAGAAAGGCTTATATGACTCAACTGACATTTTTATTTTCCTACACTACAATAAAAACTGACGTGTATCTATTTTAGTCTTACATCAGGGGGGCTAGGGACAAAACACATTATATAAACAACATAATAAATAAACACAATATTGACATCCTACTTTTACGGGAACCTAACATTTGAACTACAGAAGAAGCAAATAAACTAGATGCATAATTAATATCGACAGTCTCAAGCAAAACATCACTCGATCGGCCCCCAAGTAATTTAACATTAGAACAGTGTTCTGTTTCCCAGGTTTTTAAAAGTGCACAACCTGAATGGTAGAAAGAGATACACACCTCACCCCCCCCCCCCCCACACACACACACACTTGTCCCCACTCAACCGGACTGGCGGATTTTTCAAGGTAGCGTGACCTCTTTGCCAAGGGTCAATTTTATGTCATGGAAAGTTTTGGAATGATAGATCAGTAATGTGTATTACAGAGATACTTCTCCCACGGTGGTTTCTATTTCTGTCTACAATGTGAACTTTTGACTCCTCAGCTAAGGACAGAGCACAGTAAACTAAGCAGAGGCCTAGTTTGCACACCTTATTTTAGTCTAGTTCTTATGCCATTTTATTTTCTCCATTTGATTATTATATATGCAATTGATGTTCATGTCTTTGATGCTGTGTAAAATCTATCAAATAAATTATTATTACTGATTTAAAGGTTTAAAACAATTGAATTAATAATAATAAAAAAAAAAATAAAAAAAAAAAAAAAAAAAAACTAATTGAGGACTGTATAGATATAGATGTTTGAAAGGGAAGAGTGTTTGCTTTTACGAGTCTCATTGTAATAACATAACTTTTCCGATTGCTTAAAATTTGTATCATTTTAATTCTCTGTAATCCCAAATTCATTTCAGCTCTACTTTAAAAAAAAAAAAAAATTCAACCCTCTCCCCCCTTCTCGTCCCCTCAGCCCACCACGCTGATGGAAAAAAATCCCTTGAATCATCATTTAATTACACATTTGCATTTTCAGTTTCGGGTTGGTTTTTAATTTTTATTTTTTCTTTATATTTAGACGTTTTGTATTAGATCTATGTATAAGTAAACCATCTTAAATGAATGAAAGTAGGCTACAAGTAAGAAAGAAATATTACTATTGTAAATCTGTATCAGTCCTCACAAGCCGGTGATGAAAACTGTAATACTAAAGCGAACACACACAACTGACGCTGTAAATTACATGTCTGGGGCAAAAAAAAAGAGAGAGAGAAAAAAAAAAATTTACTCAATATTAAAATCGCCTTTCGGTCCTTTGGCTAAGATCAAAGTGTAGGGCAGAGGTCGGCAACCTGCGGCTCGCGAGCCGCATGCGGCTCTTTTGATATCAAGATGCGGCTCTCCAGCTCCGTGAACAAATACTAATAATCTTAATTTAAAAAAATATTTAAAATACAAAAAAAAAAATTTATTGGCTCTTTAAAACCAGGAAATTTTTAAAAATTGTAACTTTTGGCTCTTCCGCTTCAGAAGGTTGCCGACCCCTGGTGTAGGGTATCTGTTAAGGATCTACATAAATCAAGGTCATTTGGTTGGTCAGCCCTTTTTAGGGCTGGCTGCCGGGGTCGAGTGGCGGTCAATCTACTACTCAACTCATCAAGCAATCAATTGCAAATCTCGCCAACGATCGCTGTGTGGTTGCGCCCACACATCCCTCGAAGTGCACATGCCCTCCAGATGAGTCACCCAGTACTTGTATTGGGTGGCTTCAAATGTACAAGTGGCTAATTTTCTATTTTCTTTTTTTTCAACCTGACGACACCAACCTAGGAGAAATCTGAGGTGGGAGGCTCCGTCAATTACCATCAACTCGACATCCCTCAAAGATCAACTACTCAATAAACTTCACGATTAAGCAAATCTCACTTTGCCCATTTCAACTACTCGACTAAGCTCTCGACTACTCGATCACTCACAATTTCTTCTCATCTACAATCCTCGACACAGCATTATCACGAAAACTAAACATTCTTCAATATCATTTCGCCTATTCTACGATACATCTTCATAAACTCTACAAAGAACAATAAATCAAAGCAACCTAGGAAAAACGACATTTCAACACAAGGACACTACCTCAACTACCCTCTCCAAGCTCTACACCTCTCGATGAACTCTACCATCAACGACAAGACACCAAACTCATCTTCCCAATATCGGAACATCCTTCATTGACACTCAAACTACAACTACCAACTAAGAATCAACAACTGCTCAAAGAATAGCTTTTTAAACCATCATCCTACCCTTCAATACAACATAGAAACTTTAATCTTTTTTAATTTCTCGTATATACAAAGTATAGAGAAAGTCTTGTAATCGTGCAAAAAAAAAAAAATTCAAGATTGTTGCAAATCTTGACGTATTACAGCGCCCTGCGTCGGAAAAACATACTTTGCAATCTTGTCCGTATGTCTGTTTGTGTGTATGTGTGTGTGTGTGTGTGCGTATGTCTGTAAACACGATAACTTGAGTACCGTTACAGCTAGGTTGATGAAATTTCAAATATAAGTATTGTATCAAAATCGTAGATCAGTATCAACTTTTTAGCGATTTCCGAAAAAAAGAAATTGGATTTCTTTCTACTTTGAATTTTTCAAAAGCCTATAACTTGAGAACTATTGCAGATAAATAGAAGAAATTTCACATGTAAGTAAAATATCTAATTTTCTGCCTTTTGTCAAAATTGTGAGTAATTTATGTTGACGAAAGTAGTAATTTTCTCTATTTCCGATTTCTCAAGAAACGCATGTGAATTTATAAAGTACTAATAATATTCCACTCTACTATTCACATTTTATTGGTGTTCACTTGGTGTGCAATTCTTTTTTCTACGAGATTTTATTCTAATTTTAAAAAATCTAAAAAAATTTATTAACAATCATGTCTATATTCCCTGTTGTTTCATATAAGAATATTCGAGAAAGTTTATTAGAGATCACTCCCGGTTAATTTAAATTTCAAAACTTTTCTGGACTTATCCTATATTTCCCAGAAACAGAAATTGAATGCTTATATATGCATGTTATTCAAGGTATGCCTATTTTAGTATGATTTGGAATTCCTTTAGACATTTATCTTTTCCAAAACTTTTTACATCTCTGTCCGCCATTATACTAAATCTTAAACTTAGATCGTGCTCAGTCATTCATTTCAAACAGCCTCATTGCATTTATCTCCGGATGTTTCTAATACAGCTTGTTAAGTAACTGTAATCAGGATTCGTTATTGGTATTGTTAGAATTTTATAGAGAACATTTCAATCACCAACAGTCATTGAATGCAGATCCTGAAAGTATATAATAGCCATAATTTTGATAGATCCTATACGAGATAACAATTTCCATAACTGAAAACGGTTACATGGTTAAAGTGGTGTTTACAATAGGGCTTAGAAGTCTCTTTGCTTCTCTTACTTAAAATTTGAAATCTCGTTAGCCACAACAAATTCACAAAGTATCACTATCAGTTTTTACGATTTTAAATGACTCAACAAAACCGTAAGTAACTTTTGTTTATTTTTTTACCGATTTAATAAACATATTCAATATTGGTTTGAAAAATACCAGCTGGCTAGTATGATAAGAAGTTGATGACTTAATTACAGGCCCTTATGTTTGTATTGAATTAACATATATTTAGTCAAAGAGGTAGATGATGTTAACTTTGTTGATGTATACTTTGTGTTTGTGAAACTATGTAGTGTTAACAGTGCTGTGAATAGTGTTTGGTAAAACTTCGTGAATTATGTGTGTTGTATCGAGAAAATGATTCCAGTAAGCGATGCGAAGGCTGTTGTGTTGACGTTGTGATGTTGAGTTATGTAGCGGAGGGCGACTGATTTTTGTTGATGCTCATATTATGATGTAACACACACACACACACACACACACATATATATATATATATATATATATATATATATATATATATATATATATATATATATATATATATATATATTTATATTTATTTATATTTATATAGCGAGATAAAAAAGTGATTGATTCCTGTGTTTGATCCATATACTAATACAATTTGTTCCGGTTATTGATAATTGAAGTTGATGACTTTATTGTTTAGATACTGTCCCATGAAATGAAATAGAAAATGTCTGGCCAAGTCACTGAACCATGAAATAGCTGAAAGTCTGGTTTGGTAACTGAAGCATGAAATAACCAAAAAAGGTGGGCCGGTCATTTACATAACAAAGTCCTGAGCTTTTGCCGTATGACGTAATCGAGCTCCCATCTGGACACGACGATAATGTTGTCGTCCACCATGGCACTTAACAGCTCTGTGGGCAGCTGGTGGACATGACGTTTGTTGACCATCGCGACAACCCGCGCCGGGTTGGCGGGTGTCTGAGAGTACACCGCACACCTGATGGTAAACAGCATCCAGTCGTCGGCCTTTAAAAAGTTGTCGTTAAACACCAGGACTACCCGCCAACTGCAGTTGACGGCGTCGACAATCCCTCGGGCAATATCACTGGAAGGTAAAAGGTCGCGGTCTCGAACAAACGCGCTTAATTCAAGCTTGTTTTCTATGTAAGGTAAAAGATTGTGGCAAGCGAACCCGTAATCTTTGTCGGCATAACCAATGTACACACCGTATTTGTAGTCTTTGCAGCTGTGTAACTTAAAGTTTCCGAAATATTGTAGCACGTACGATACAATATAAGTCAGTTTGTTGTTTACGATAAACGTCAGCAAGTAGCCTATACATAAAGTACTGAAACATACTATACTGATATAGAAAAAATACTGCCCGCTACAGTACCGCCATAGTTTGTTTATATCCTGGAAGTCAAGCGTTGTTATCAGTGTCCCATCGTTGTCAATGCACGTGTAATTCCTACCGTTGTCTAGAACCACGTCTGTGTGGGTGAGCCACAGGAGAAAATCGATATTCTCACAAGCACATGACAATGTGTTGCCGAAGAGATATAAATAGAAACCTTTAGAGCTATGGGACCTAACATCCATTTCTAAACGCGTCTTGGCATCAATACTTGTTAGGGAGTTCCCTCTCATGTCTAGAATATACAGCACCGGCGCGTTCCTAAGGTCAAACGGGATCGATCGAAAACGATTAAACGCGAGATTTAATCCTCTTAGGTTTTTGTTATCAAGGAAGGTTTGTGGAGCCAGAAGATCCAAACGATTTGACGACATGTCAAGCCATGATAGCAAACTCAGATTCTGAAACAGCCGCCTGCTATGGAGAGATATAAACAAAGGCTCAAGCTTGCAAGCAGATATATCTAGTTTTTCAATCGTTTGAAAAGTGTCAAACAAAGTATCAGACAGTAGGGTCATATTGTTACCGGAGAGTAACGCTGTTTTCAAGCCAGATAATCCTCTAATTTCATAAATAAAATCTCTAAAACCACAACCGGAAATATCGAACAAATCAATGTTGACGGCGTTTTTAACGATCACTTTAGATGTAAATGGTGCGCTTACGATCCATCTGCGTAGAGACATGTATGTTAGATTTGGGGGCATGTAGAATGTGATGTAGCCACAATTTGAACATGTGACATTTTCAGCTCCAGTCGTTGAAATAAGCTCATCCGTCATGTCTCAGTTCTTGTTTTGATACTGTGCTCATTTAATAAATACGGAACCTGTTTTTGAGCATGAAAATTAATAGGTAAATTTACTGAGCTTAATGAATTTTCATGTTCTTCCCAGAAACCCCCAACACTTTCGTCACCTACAGTAAGAAATTTCAAATTGTGAAATGTAACAATTTGAAAAAACGCTGAACGAATTCCAAGAATCGGATTGGATGACAAATCAAGACTTTTTAAACATATGTCCCACTGTCGGCTATACAACGAAGACAATCGTATAAGCATTAAGTCATTTTCTATAAGAGACAAATGAGACAGACATATTTTTCTTAAATAATACGTCATGTTGGCAGTCAATATACTTTCTTTCGTCATTAAGCTGACGTCAACTTTCGATTGATCCAAAGCTAATCCTTCAAGACGTACCTTGCTCATCTTTGTGACATTTAAGTGTTTAAACAACGACATCGACATTTTCAATCCTAGAGGTGAATCCTTAATAACCAAAACGTCTAGCCTCTGAAAATATTGAAGCGCTTTGACGCTAATGTATTTTAAATTGTTTAAAGTGTCAAGAAATAATTCGCGCAGGTTTTTGATGTTTTGAAAGCTGGAGCAGTTGATGTTTGACACAGAACCAGACACGACTAATGTAGACAGGTTTCTCATGGCGTCATAGCTTGATCCAAACTGCAGTGTGTCGTCATTGACATCTATAGAGAGATATGTCAAACTGTTCGGCAAAACAAAATCTATGATGTCTGTTGTTCTTTGATTCAGTAACCGTAGTTCCAGTAAGGTAGAGAGGGAAGAAAAAGAATACATTGCTGACCGATTGAGCTTGTTGTTCTCCAAATTTAAGGCAAGTAATTGACCAAGACCATCAAATGAATCGTGAAATATTGTTCCTATTTCGTTATTTGTCAAGGTTAGATTTGTTAACAGTGTTAGCTTCAAGAATACTTTTCCAGGAATGGTTTCAATTTGGTTGTCGTTGAGTAGAAGTATAGTGGTGTTATCATGAAACCAGCAATCCGATATATGTGTAATGTGACTATAGCTACAGTTTACAACAATGTCGTCCCCTATTACAGATGTTCTGCCCGGTGACTCCGTTTGCAGGTAGCACAACGTTTTACTAGCACTTGCTTTTCCCTCATGAAATTGTTCCTGAAGTTGATTCCAGTTCACGCCAGACGGAGTCCCATAATCCTGTGTGTTGTCATATCGATTAACCGCAGAAACAAAATTTAACTTTGCCATCCAGAAATGAATCAACACGGCACATAGTGTAAAGATGTGAACACCCATTTTTAAAAAAAGCCACAAGTGTGTTTCAGAACATTAGAAATAACCTTATAGCTGTCTGCGAGGTGAATTTGGACCTACTTTACAATGTAACCCTTGTTATAAAGACAGCTCCAACGTGTAGCCGGGGCTTTGTAAAAACGTCTCGCTTGGTTAGACACATGCAACATAAGTCCCGGGAGGGTTTATATCATGAGTGCGTAATTCTTTGGTCCATTTCTTACATGTGTACATAAAATTAAAACGGCAGTGTCGGTATAAACAAAATAGTGACTGAGAACCATTGATAGATTGCAAAATAGTTTTATATAGTGAGCTAGAGTGAAAGGATGAAGAAAAAAAAATCTTTGGAGTAAATATGCAAGTTTTAAGATTCCAGTATCCTCCAATATTGGTGTGAATGACCCTATGGTTGAACTATACATATTATTTTCCTTGTGTATTTTTTCTGTAATCTTCCAAGTCTTTGTCTCTTTTCTCTGTACTTGTCCGTGTATTTTCCCTGTATCTGTCTCTATATCGTTTCTTGTATATTATTATGTCCGTAAACTGTTTCCTGTTAATTTCCCTCTTGTTTTTGCCATATTATATGTCCCTGGATCAAAATCTGGAGCGTTCCCTGTATATGTCCCTGTATATGTCCCTGTATTTGCTTCTGCATATAAATCTTGAGCGTTCCCTGTATATGCCCCTGTATTTGCTCCTGTATATAAACCTGGAGCGTTCCCTGTATGTGTCCCTGTATTTGCTCCTGTATATAAATCTGGAGCGTTCCCTGTATGTGTCCCTGTATTTGCTCCTGTATATAAATCTGGAGCGTTCCCTGTATATGTCCCTGTATTTGCTCCTGTATATAAATCTGGAGCGTTCCCTGTATATGTCCCTGTATTTGCTCCTGTATATAAATCTGGAGTGTTCCCTGTGTATGTCCCTGTATTTGCTCCTGTATATAAATCTGGAGCGTTCCCTGTATATGTCCCTGTATTTGCTCCTGTATATAAATCTGGAGCGTTCCCTGTATAAGTCACTGTATTTGCTCCTGTATATAAATCTGGAGCGTTCCCTGTATATGTCCCTGTATTTGCTCCTGTATATAAATCTGGAGTGTTCCCTGTATATGTCCCTGTATTTGCTCCTGTATATAAATCTGGAGCGTTCCCTGTATATGTCCCTGTATTTGCTCCTGTATATAAATCTGGAGCGTTCCCTGTATAAGTCACTGTATTTGCTCCTGTATATAAATCTGGAGCGTTCCCTGTATTTGTCCCTGTATTTGCTCCTGTATATAAATCTGGAGCGTTCCCTGTATATGTCCCTGTATTTGCTCCAGTATATAAATCTGGAGCGTTCCCTGTATATGTCCCTGTATTTGCTCCTGTATATAAATCTGGAGCGTTCCCTGTATATGCCCCTGTATTTGCTCCTGTATATAAATCTGGAGCGTTCCCTGTATATGCCCCTGTATTTGCTCCTGTATATAAATCTGGAGCGTTCCCTGTATATGCCCCTGTATTTGCTTCTGTATATAAATCTTGAGCGTTCCCTGTATATGTCCCTGTATTTGCTTCTGTATATAAATCTTGAGCGTTCCCTGTATATGTCCCTGTATTTGCTTCTGTATATAAATCTTGAGCGTTCCCTGTATATGCCCCTGTATTTGCTCCTGTATATAAATCTGGAGGGTTCCCTGTATATGTCCCTGTATTTGCTTCTGTATATAAATCTTGAGCGTTCCCTGTATATGCCCCTGTATTTGCTCCTGTATATAAACCTGGAGCGTTCCCTGTATATGCCCCTGTATTTGCTCCTGTATATAAATCTGGAGCGTTCCCTGTATATGCCCCTGTAGTTTCCCCGTGCCTGTCCTTGTGAATGTCCAGGTCCCTGTGTCTGTGTCTGACGGTAATCAAATATTGAGGGTTATTAGCCAAGGTTTTCGATTTCTATTACATTTTAATTTAGTTCGCAATGTCTGCCTGCCTGCCAGCCTGCCTGCCAGCCAGCCTGCCTGCCTGCCTGCCTGCCTGTCTGTCTGTCACTGCCCCAACCCCTTCCGCTTGTAACACAAAAAAATTGATATTTTTTTTCTAGGCGGGCGTTATACAGCTACCTTTCTGGTAAATTTACCACTAGAACTTCTAATTTATTGTATAATCTACATTTTCTATTAATTTTTAAATTTATTTTTTTTAAATTATAAAATGTAAGTATTTTGTGGTTTAATTCCACATGTGGACGACCACATTGATCCAACCTCCCCCCATTCCACACGCGTCCACATAAGTAGATTTTTATCGCCCCCCCCCCCCCCCCCCCCCAGTGTGGACGTCATGAATGGATGACCACATATGATAACGGATATACAACTTTTCATAGAGAGCGTGTAAGATTAGGAAAAATTTATTATTTTTTAATTAATAGATTCATAACAATGGTTTTTTTAAACACACATTTTTTTTTCGCATTAAAGTTTTTATTTTCTTAATACACAAGTTGACAAAGTATCCAAAAGTGCAAGAAACCCATCACGACAAGAAACAAGAAAATTTGTATTTTTTTCGGCGCATATCCCCTTAAAAGGAGAGACGATAAAAGGGAGACGACTATAAAACAAATTAAATTGTTAATTAAAAAAAAAAAAATATTTAGATAAATTTTAAATATAAACTGAGATCAATTTTACTTTGGGTATTAACAATTGTACACGTTGTTTATTTGATACTAACATTTCTTTTTGAAAAATAATTTTGTTTCGTCAACATTGATACATGCAAACACATTTTAAAAATTAAATCTAGAAAGGCTTATATAACGCAACTGACGTTAAGTTTCATTTCGTCTGACGTTTTTTTTCGGATTTACACTTATCTCAATCTCTGAGAACGTAGTGTTCTCAAATCCTTATGATGAAGCTGATGAACAGTTAAAAAAGGAACGCGAAGAAGACCTTGAGAAACAGAAGAGAGAAAAGGATAAAGAAATTAAGAAACAAAAGAAGAAGACAGAAGAACCAACAGTAAAAGTATATAAACAAGGAGTTGGTAAATACATCAATTCTACGGCAATCAAAAGGGCAGAAACCTCAGCAGAGGATGACACAGTTTCTGATCCAAAACAGAAGAAAAAAGCTACATACAATTTTGGCAACTTTAGCTCCTGGTAACTGTTTCATGCAAATGTGTTTTCATGTATTTACTTATCCACAATACTAATAAAAATTATCTCAATGTTTTTAAAAAAAAAAAAAAAAAAAAAAAAAAAAAAAAAAAAAAAAAAAAATCTCAATCTCTGAGCTTAAATTGGCCATTTTAATTAACGGAAAAAAGAAAAAAATTGTCCAGTAACAAATCAGCAGAAAGAACCCAGAAGAAAACATGAGACCGGAAATCTCATCCGCTAACCAACTGAGGCAAGACAAAAATTAATGACCCTGCTAATTACCTGTCTTTACACATGTTCTATTTTACTGGTCTGTGATTTGGCCGCACACAATATTGTGGCGGAAAAGTGTACACGTATACAAAGTTGTAATAAATCACTTCATCCTTGATCAGTACCTAGTATTTAAAAAAATGATCTACGTAACATCCCGTAAAAAAAATAATTGGTTAGTTAGATGTCAAGGCAGTTCTGCTGTATGGAGCAGCGACATGGAGAGTCTCCAAAGCAAGCACAGCAAAGATACAGACCTTCATG